AGAAAATATATGATATTTTATATTTACGCGATTTACGTGAGAAAAAATACGGAATACAAACGCGTATAAGATAGGTGTAAATTGCATTATAGGTGCCGTAGTTTGTTCGATGAAAAAGAGGAAAGAAAGTAAGAAACAGATCGGACTGAGTCACCGAGTCTCTCTCTCTCTCTCTTTCTCTCTCACTCTCTCTCACGAGAACTCGATGTATTCCTTCCCGTTGACCGCCGGCCTCTAATCAAATTCTTCACTATCCTCTCTTTCACACTATTCTTTTTTTTTTCTTGGAAATTTATAATTAAAGTAAATCAAACGTATAAATTAATCAATTCACCAACTCTTTTCTTTTTCGTGTTTATTGTTACTCGGTCCAAATCTCCAATACAATCTGCTCCCTTTTCCCTTTTTTTTTATCTTTCATTCTTTGCTTATAAACCATTTCTCTTCCGATCCGATCATCCGTGTTATTTTTTTATTCGAAAACGACGGCGAGGAATGGGAGGGATGGACGTCGGAGGAGGAATCGTGAGGAAGTTGTGGAACAAATTCAGGACCGAATCGGTGTTTGTTAATTACACTCCTTTCTTCGTTTGCGTTGCAGCTGGGAATTTAAGTGCCGATTCTTTCCAGCACTATATCTCTCAGCATGTTCATTTACTCAATGCCTTTACACGCGCGTGAGTCACTTCGAATCACTGCTAAAAGCTTAATCATTAGGCTAAATGTTTTTTTTCATTGATTATTATATTTATTTGGGAATTTTCAGGTATGAATTGGCGGAGGAATGCGCTGATGATGACGAAGACAAGCAGGCAATACGAAAGCTAAGGAAATATGTTCAAGTCAAGCTTAATTCAATCGACTCTCTCGTCCAAGTAAGCTATTTTTTCCTCTTTATTGATGTTTATATATTTTCATTTTTTAAATAAAAAACGAATCGTTGTTATTATTATTATTTTGAAATTATGTTACTTCGGATTAACGCTGTTCACGATCATTATTGCTATTTTCATTGGATAAAAGGGAAAAACACGAATAACATATTAATTGGTGTTCGTGGCGAACGAAACACTTTATTTTTCTTTCATTGATTACTAATTTGTTGTTTATATCTAGTAATGTATTTTTTTAAAACTTCATATCTCATGCCAAGGGAGTTTTCAGGTTTATTAGTTGTATTTGCTGCTGCTAACCTGCCAATTAGCCGTGTGCCATTGAAGGCAAATTTCTAACATGCTTACATATATGAAACCTTGATGATGTAAATGGGTTAGATTATAGCCTTGTTTTCTTTAAGTAAATGGCTAGATGTAAGTTGTTCAGTATTGACTTTGTTATTTATAGTACAAATATGAAATTGCTTGTGGATTTTCCTTTTTGTTGGTATGGGCGCTTTTGGAGTTTTTAACTCTAGAACTAATGTATAAGATAACAGTTCACAGCCAAATTTTACACTATCTAGGCCAAGATCCTCCAATGTAAGATTACGTAATTTAAGTTGGATTGCTTCGTTCTTTTTAGCATATTAACCATTTGGACCAAACATATATGTACAACTGCATTGACTGCCGTTTTTCTTCATTTTTGCATATAGTGGTGGTTACTTTAAGTCTCTTTTAACGAAGACCTACAATGCAGGAATGGGGCTTTGAACTCCCAGAGGAGAGAATTCCGACAATACAACTATGACGTATACAGATTTTTTGTTGGCAACAGCCTCTGGTAGGATTGAAGGAGAAAGAGTCCCTGGTAAACTTGCAACCCCTTTTGAGAAGACAAAGGTTGCTGCTTATACACTTGGAGCTATTGCACCTTGCATGAGGCTCTTTGCCTTTATAAATAAAGAGATCCAAGCTCTTCTAGATCCTAATGATAGCAGTCACATTTACAAGAAGTGGATTGCTCATTATTGCTCTCAAAATTTTGAGGTTCATGAGATTATTATTACTTTTGCTGACCGAACTAGAAAACCTCCTTTGGTTATTTGGAAAAGAATTAAACTTTTCTCAATTATGATTTCAGGCTTATGCTTTTCGAATTGAAGAGCTGCTGGATACTCTAAGTGTAACTTTAACAGGTGAAGAGTTGGATGTCATAGAAAAAGTCTACCATCAATCTATGAGACTGGAAGTAGAATTTTTCTCTTCTCAACCAATTATACAGGAAACAGTGGTTCCTCTGTTTCGGACTCTAGACCCGCTTGGGCGGTGAACTCTTCATATTTTGCGATTTTGACTTGACTTGCGCTGCTTTTGATTCTTCTGCTATATTAGCAGAGATGGCAATCATAACAAGGCCAAAGGTTGACTCTGATGGATCTGAAACCCAACTTTCTCGGATGTCATCTGCCGATTTGAGGAGCACATGGGATGCCCTTTCTGCCCAGTATGCCGAAGAGTTTGAACAGTGTATTGAAAGCATCAAAACAACCGAGACAGGTTTGATAAATTATTGCCTGCCTTTTTTATTTTAGACCTTGTTAGTCTAGCATGGTTTTGGTGAGAATTTGTTCAGTATATTGCTAAGTTAGCCATTTGTGTTGTCTACTTGTGCAGCAACAAGTTTCAGTTATGAAGGTCTCTGTGAAGCACTTGAGCAATTTGCACATTTTGAGAAGGCAGCAAATTCAAGAGTGGTTCAATCAGGAGTACTTAAGGGGTTAAATCAAGAGGATATAAAAAGGGCTGGCCAAGGTTTGATCCTTCAAGATGGTTGTAAAGGGTTTATTGGGAGAATCATGAAAAATGAAAATCTCACGGCTTCTTTGCATGTACTTTCTTATTGTTGGTGTGGGGATCTCATTCGTTCAGCATTTTCATTGGGTAATTACTAGAACACTGAAGCCATTCTATATTACACATTAAAAAAATCAAATATTTAATATTTAATTTGAACTAAAGTGAAGACATAAGGATGACTAGACATTGCAATCCAAATTGGGAGTTTGGATGTCGTAGTCTGTAATGCAATATAATATATCAGAATTATATCCGAAGTATTCTTATTGCTTATCATGCCTCCATGCTACCTGTGATAGTTTGGAATTAGGATGCCTTGAATATACAGTTTTCAAAGTAATGCTTTTTAACGCCTCCTAGTTCTCTTAGCAGGGGATGTAAAAGCTCTAAATGTTTGCTCCAATGAGTTAGCTTGTGAAGAGTCCATCACTACGGGTGAAATCATTAAGAAGTTAGAGTCTCCCATGGAAAAGCTCCAGGCTTTCAATAACATATTAAACAACAGAGACCAAGATAGCCAGCACTTGACGGTTTATATCGGAGGTCGGTTGGTGACTTGCTCTGCATGCTCGAAGCAGACATAGGTATTGTGATGGGTTCAAATCCCACCCTAAGACGATTGGGTGAACAGTTTGGCGTTTCTTTTGTGCCATTGTTCTCCGGTTTGGTGGTGAAACAGAGGGAGGTGATGGAAGATACTTCTTCTAATTGGAAAAAGCTTTCTGGCACTTTATATACCGTCTCTAGCTGGGATGAGATACATGCATTTATTCTGGGTTCATCATCGTAAATCCTTCTCTCTGCCTGATCAAAGGAAGCAATTTACGGACATATATACATATAGAATCTCGATTGTGGCAAATTTTTGTCAAGGTCCACAGGTCATCCCTGATTCCTTTTACTTATTTCATTAGGGACTGCCAAACAAATTCAACGTACAGATCCTGGTATCACAGGTACAATTCTGTAGTTACTGAAGCAAGTTAATTATCCGATGTTTCGACTCAGTTGTCATTTGAGTGGAATTAAGAAAGAAAATAGTTTCCAATTTGTTTGCAATGTCAATATAATTTCCTTTACGATACTCGAGGAATGTACTTTTGCTTTATTATTTATTCTATAAGTTGTTTTTCTCATATGTTTCGAATTCATTGTGAAATGTTTTGCTCAAGTTCTCCATATCAATGCTTGCAACTTCACAGTTTCGGAGAAACTAAAGGTTGACAAAGAAGAAAAAAAATCTGAATCCTGGTGATATTGTGTTATGTACCTGGGAAGAAACTAAGCAACTGACTAACTGAGAATATTACAAGAAAGGAATTTCATTGAGAATTTTCAGATGGCCCTGGCAGTACAAGTCCAGCTCTTATTTCATTCTAGGAAAGGACAAAATCCGTTAGCTTCTTAGGTGGCATTTTCCTCCTCACGCTTCCTGGTTGGTTGCTACTGAATTACTCTCCTCTCCGTCAGCTGCTTGCATGGTTCCTGCAGATTGTTGTATCATCTTCTGCTCGTATGCTTCGACTCCTCCATGCTCAACATATTGCTTCTTCTACATCACTTTCTTTTATCGGTGTTTGAGTAATAACCTTCAATCTTCTCTCCCTTCTACCATTTTCTTGATTCCGAGTCTGCAATCATTTATTGCCCCGAACAATAACTTGGTGAAATTCTAGATTATTTTCAGGATTTCCTTTCACTTGCTGTGCTTGTTCTCCCATCAAATCAATTTACAGGAAATATCCCGGCTAACATTGTTTCACGTGAGAAATTAGTTACCTGGAATATGAGGAATAATCAATTAGCCAGAGATATTCCGAAATTGATTGCTGTGATGCCGACATCGGCTGTTCTTAATTTGTATAACAACTCCCTAACAGCAACAACGGCGGAAATACGTCTAACAGTGAGAAGCCAGTTTTTTGCACATCACTTGTATATGGCCACATTTAGGCCAGCCTCAACCCGCCGCCAAGACTAACCATATTCTTCTTTGTATGTAGCATTATATATTTGTTAATGCTTGTAGTAACTGGTTCACATTGAAATTCTTAATTCTCATTGTCAAAACTCAAATGTATTTCCAATGGGTCAATTCTTGGAAACTCCCATCTTTTTCTGCTATTACAAATTCTTCACAAGCTATACGTACAGTTCTGAATTCCTCTCAAACTTGAATGAGAAAATTACAGTAAAATGGCTCTGTTATTTACAGCAACAACAGAATACAGCAATTTACCAAGTATATTTGTATACAACATTGCATTGAAAACTGATACATTGGTACCTTTCAATAAGTATGGTAACTATTACTTGAGACTGTAACCGAAAGATCAAGGAAAACATGTAACAAAATAATACAGTAACCAGAAACAAACCCGAGATTCTTTGGAGTTCTAACTTTACTCTGTCAAAGTGCTTTGACTATTCTGTGCCTTTTTGATTTTTGTGTTGGCATATTGCTTGAGAGAACAACATTGAATACTCTAGATGTGTTTACTTCTTTGTCTCTGGTTCCTCTCTTGCAACTGTGGAGCTGTAAATTATGAATTAAAGCAACCTTAGATATGATTTGAAAGCTATGAAAAGTTGAAAACATGATTAGAAGAGAATACGAATCTAGGTACTCAATCCGGTAGCCTCGGATGTCCTCATGATTCTAAGCCTCTTCACGGAGTTAAGGAACATCCTGTACTGAACAAGAGAAGATTCACAATGTGTTAAGAGAAGACACCATTTAATCCATGACAACAGTAATCTATATCTAGTCCGTTACTGATCGGCAAATAATTGCACCTTTAGCCTCTTCATGTTGTTCTCACTTACTGTCACAAAGTGCTAAGTTGAACCGTTCGTTTTACATTTAAAACTGAACAAGATGATGCACCAAGATATATACAGCAAATCTTCTATAGACAGAATTTTGAGGGCACTACAGCAAAGGCACATGAATGAATACTTTTTTAAGTTTTTTCTTTTATTCTCCTCGGTTTTCAATCTGAACCAATTGATGGCTAAAAGATAATAAACACTTTGTTAAGTTTTGAGATTCTTTTGCACATTTATACACGGTGAAAGTCTTGGTGGTTCTACATTTTGTTTCAGCCAGGAAATAAAAAAACGAAATTCGTTTTAGAAGTGTCATGCGAGCAAAATCGTATGAAAATGTGAAGTAATACGTATACTGAGAACTTTACGTACTCCCAAGGAACATCTCCGACAAGCATCCAATCACCCCTCCTCGTCCTCGTAATATGGATGTTCCTTGTTCTCATATGTAATGGGGTAAGGGGAGGTAAGATAGTAGGCTGCCCCAACACTAGGTTGAGAGCATCTTTCGTAAAAGACCTCCAAATTATGAAATGCCCTTCGTGGGACTCAATCCCACGACCTCAAGGTTAAGAACCTTGTGCTCTACCAACTGAACTGGATAGTCATCTCTCTCCTTGTCCTATTAAGTAAGCACAAAATCAGATGACCCATCCAGCAGTTTCGAAGGTCTTGTTATTTTTTTCATCATACCAAGCTCTAGAGCCGTTGATCCTGATCACAAAATCATGACAACATTCATCAAAGAGAAACAAGCTCCAATAATCATCTAATAAAAGAAAATCTTTCAATCAAATGCTTTACTTTCTTTGCTGTATAACCACTGTTATCCAACTCACTAGTCGACTAATCAGGACTGGATACTATGGAGAACCATTATTGGGACGACCCTCCTAACTCAGATTGCTCCATTCACAATGTCAAAATTTGAATTCTAGGGGTGCTTAGATCCCTTTCACACATTGATTTTGCATAATGCATAAGTAGTGCTTAAGCATACACAATCATTTTTGTTAAATCCCATATATCATTTAAGACATTGTCACTGTATAATATAGGACATCCCTACAACCGATACTGAGATGAGTACTTAACTCATCTTCTGCAAGTCAACAAAAAAAAAACAAAGGAAATCTTACATGGCGGATTGACGCTTGGGGTGGTTTTCAGAAACAAATCTTCTAAAGTTTTCGCTAATTTTTCGTATGATTCATGGGCATTCAAATCGACCTTTCTTCCAATTGGAATTCCATCCATATTCACCTTCACAAACAAGGATTTTCTGATTTTAATGTTGCCATTATTCTGGTAGCTGCCAAAGCTAGCAGTACTCTTCTCAACCATAGAGGTTTCACTTTTACAGTTCTCCATTGTCAAGTTAACTCCTTCGGCGGCCAGATTTTTTGCTTGGCTAACCATACTATTCATCCTATAAGCTCTGGGAGGCCACCCATGACTTGACTGTTCCAAATTCAAAAAAAAAATAACATATGGTAAGAAAAAGTCTAAAAGCTCCCAATATGCGATTTAACATCCAACCACCACAATAAGTTAACAAAAAGAATAGTTATCATATGGTGCCAAAATGGTTATACCAAAAGAACAATTGTAGACATTAAAACTGTCTCGATGACATTGGTTTTGCCTCGACGAAGATGAAGCCTAGTAGCATATAAGGCTCCCAAGGCACACAGGTTTACATATAAACCGGCGTACCATTAATATCACCAATCAAATAGCAACATATATTGAATTTGGAATGAACTACAACGATCAGGACTGTGCTATCTATCAACATTTATATCATAAAAATTAGAATCTATAAATGTTAGCCACCAAAATGACCAATCTCAAGAAAAGTGGAAGGCTTCCAAATCCTCAACAACCTAACAATAAAGTTGTCTCCATTGCCATCTCCTTTCTGAATGGAATAATCATACATATCCTTATAATGGTAATCTATTGACAACATTAGCACATTCAAGTGCCAAAATTTACTTTCCCATTTGTTTTCTGTCTTTCTCCTGATCAAGGATTTAAGTACTAAACCCCTAAGAATTCTCATAATTTAAGTATTTTCTATTGATAATCTGTTTTTACCACCTCCTAAAATTTTATTAACATAAATCTTGTGTCTGAACCTGCTTATAAGGGTAACTAATTGTTATAACAGAACTATATAGGAAGCAGATAAGTTCAGGAAATACCAATTACATCCAACAGCATAAGCATAATTAAGGGCATGTGCTAATAAAGCAAAACATACCTAGAGCCATTAGCAGCAGCCACAGAATCAGTAGTCCTCTTGGTCCCAGCAGTGACATTAGCTCTAGAAAGAAGATGAAGAAGAAGACGATGGAGAAGCAGCAGGAATCACAGAAGGGAAATCCTTGGAAGTCAAAATCCTAGCAAATTGACCACCACCTTTGGAAACTTGGTGCATCTTAAAACCACCAAGGCTCAAACCAAGACCCAGCTCCAGCTAAGACTCATCAGGGCAAGAAGAATCCTCTGAGGACACCACCATGTTGTCCTCCCTCGAAACTGTAGACATAGACCCACTTTCAGAGCCACCACTCCTTCCATTGAAATTACAACACCTCCTTGGTTAACCCTAGTTTTGAACTTTATAACTCTACAAGGGAAGAGATGAATTACAGGTAAAGCTTGCAACTTTGTAGGCAAAGGACAAAGGTTGAGAATTTGGGAGAGGTATTAAGCTTAAAGTTTGGTGGGTATTGGGGGACAAAGGTTTAAAAAATTTTTAAATTTATTTATCCCAATTAAATATCTGTAGTTAAATTTTCATCAATTCATTTCTATTAATATTGATCATTAGATTTAATATTTCTCTGAATCGTTTCATATCACATGCGGTGTTATAATATTTTCTTTTGCTATTTCTTTAAAAAATTCTTTTTAGTATTTTGAATTTCAGTAATCTTAATATATTTTTTAAAATAGTAAATACCACGTTAGTAATATCTCGAAAAGTTGTTAAAATTTAACAATAAAAACTCTATTTATTTATTTTAAGATTCAGTTTATTTAATTTAATAATGTAACAAATTCAAAAATTAAAAATTTAATTGAGTATCTTTAAATGTTGAGGACTTTAAGATAAATTTAAATCCCAAGTTAATATATTTATTCAAAGAAGTTTTTGTTTTCTTTTCTTTACAACTTCTAAATATAATTATGTTCCTACCGAAAGCGAGATTCTACAAGAAAGGGAAAAATACTCATAGTAGATCTAGAACTCATAATCTAAAAAATAGGAGAAAACAAACAACTTGACCAACATACCAAACTGCTTATTCAATATGAGTATCAAGTTAAAATATCAATTTAAAGGTGCAAAACATATTTAAAAATTAGGGGTAAATTATAATTATCTTATAAGTTTTAAACTTTGTTATATAAAAACACTTGTTTTAACTACTAATCTATCAAATACATTTAAACCTAAATTTTTATGAAGAATTAATATTATTCAAAAGATTATAATCATTAATAACAACTTAAATTCTATAAAGAATAACTTCTCAATTAAACCAGTTTGTTAAAAATAATTTATTCAAAAAAAAGACAATGAGTCACTTTATTAATATTTCATTGGACTTGGGATAGTTTACAATACATCAAAATTGCACGAACGGAAAAGATGGCGCTCGAGTTTTTTTTTTCTCTAGGTGCGTGTTAGCAGGGTTAATGGATTTCAATTTTTTGCTCTATCTTTGTTCTTTTGGTTTAGATCTAGTGCTTGTAGTTGTTTGCTTGTTTGAGGGTGTAGGTTTATGGCGGAAGGGTTGAATGGTGTCTCTACAAGTTGGTAGAAGCTCTTTGATGCGACGGGGGAGCAATCCTTGGAGTTCTTTCCCAATTGCTGTGGAGGGGTCGATTTTGGTTTGCCCGCCGTTTGAGGTGTTGGAAGAGGGCATTTTTGATTGGAAACATTCTTGTTAGGGTAATTTATTGGTAATGCTCCTAATTTTGGGCTATATAACATCTAATTTATACTCTGTGGGGGAAGCGTTCTTCAGCTAGGGATTGGGTATTAGATAATGGTCATTGGCATATTCAAAAAACATTTAGTGCTTAGAAAATGAGAGCTAATCTTAAGAAGCTAGATTTTAATTTGCTTCAAATGTATAATTGGGTTAATCTCTTTAACATTCCTCTTGAATTGTTCACTAAGGGGTTTAGTTATATTGCTAGTGCAGTAGGGTTCCCTCTGCATATGAATTCAATTACATCTTTGAGGCAACAATTAGAGTATACTCGTGTGTGTGTTGAGGTGGCTGTTGGGAGTGTGATTCCTAAATCTGTTAATATGGTGCTTAGTAATGTTATTCCTGTAAGGGTGGAGATGCCTTGGTTGCCTCCATTGTTCTGGGTGTGGTGTTTTTTGGGCATATTGATAAGTTTTATCCTCATTCTAATGTGGTCAAAAATGGGAAACATGGGAAGAAGGTTGTTTAGGGGAATGATGTGGCTGGTTCTTTTGGGTCAAGTTATCCCCCTAAGGTGGCTAAAGGTGGGAAGCTGAAGGGAGTGACACTTGTTGAGGGGAATGGTGGGACTGACTTTTCTAGGTCCAATCCATTAGCTAAAGCGGGGAGCAGAAAGGCGTTGGGTTATTAGGGGAATGATGGGGCTGGTGATTTTGGAGCTAGTCCTCAAATGGTGTGTGATGGGACTGGAAGTGCCAACATTGGTGTTGGATTGGTTGAGTCAGACGAGGCTGGTAAGGAGATTGGACATTGTTCTGGTTTGAATGAGGTCTTGGGTATTGCTTGGGAGCCTGAGGGGTAAGTGCTGGCAGTGGGGGAAGGTTCCGGGAGAGAAGGGTTTAACTTCTCAACCTAAAAGGGGGAGAGGTAGGCCTCCTAAAGAGGATGGTGGGAAAGTTATTTTTACTAGTTAAAAAATAAGTTTAAAGTCTTAGCGGACATGGATGGTGATGTTGGGGGGTGCTTGAGGGGGTGGAAGGAAGGCTCGAATGGCTTCTCAAGGGGTTGTTGTTATGTTGCAAAACATAAAATGAAAGAATGGGCATGTAGAGCGTATAAAGAAATGAGGTAAAGTTGTGCTTGGAGGTCCTATTCCTGGGGCAATTTCTTTATTATTGTGAGTTTTTTGAATGTTAGGGGGCTCAATAGCCCTCTTAAGCAGGAAATGTTGCTTGCTAGGATGGAGAAGGTAGGGTATGATGTGCTTTGTTTACTAGAAACTAGAGTGAGGGAAAGAAATGTTGCTAGGATTGTGGGTAACAAATTTAGTGAGTAGAACTTTTGTTCGAATTATAGCTTTTTTTTGAATGGTAGAATTTGGGTGTTTTAGAGGAAATATTAGGTTTTTTTTCTCATTCTTCAGGTGGCAGATCAATATATTTCGATTAAGGGAGAGGTTGAGGGTGTTGCTATAGTTATTTCGACTATTTTTTTAAATGACGGGATGGGTCGACGGCATCTACAGTTGTTAGAAAGCTCTGTTGGTTTCTCCCCTTGGGTCATTTGGGGATTTTAATATTTTTGTTGATAATGGTGAATACACAGGTATGGTTGGGTCCAACCTTTATTTTTCTTCTAACATGGGGGAGTTTGTGGCTTGTATGAATGTTTTTTGGGGTGCTTGATCATCCCTATTTTTATTCTCTTTTCACATGGTTAAACAAGAAGGGGAAGGGTATTTAGCACAGAAATTGAACCGGATCCTTGTTAATTCTAGTTGGATGGAGGTGTTTCCTAATTCTTTTGTGGAGTTCCAAGCCCTGGGGGATTCTGATCATTGCTTGGGTATCATCTGGGTTTCGAAGGAAGCTTAGGCTCATAGACCTCGACTGTTTAATTTTTTTAACTTTTGGGCTGATAATATGGGGCTTTTAGATTTATTTGGGGCTTTTTGGAACATTTCTATTCAGGGTGAGCCTATATGAGTATTGTTTCAAAAGATGAAAATGCTTAAGGGGGCTCTGAAGGAGTTTAACAAGATGCATTTTAATGAGATTTCAATGAAGGTTAAAGTGTTGAGGCAGGATCTGGAGCAATTATAGTTTGCTAACCTATCCTTTGATGGCTATAGGGATGGGGTGGCAAGGGAATAGGTGTTGCTAATGGATCTTATGGCGTAGGAAAAGGCTGAGATGTTATTCTATTAGCAATGTGCTAAGGTTCATTGGCTCAATGAGGGTGATCAACGTACGAAAGCTTTTCACTCAGATGTAGCTGGTAAGCTTAAGAAGAACATTGTCAGGGTCCTCCTTGATGATCAGGGTAAACGGATGGATACTTTTGAAGATATGACTACGGAAACTGTGGGTTTTTTTTCTAATTTTCTTGGTGCTTGGGATACTTCTATGAGGGGCTGTAATGTTGAGACCTTGAGAGGGTTACTTGATTATTCTCTCCTAGTGGAGCGGATGTGATGCTCACTCGTGA